AATTTCAGGAGTGTTGGTCTGAATCGGGTCTTGAATGTTTTTAATTTGCTCACAGAGTCGGCCTGATTCCAAAATGGGATATTTTGGGCTACGGTCTCTAGGGGTAAATTTGAAACAAGCGTGACACAGGGACACACTGACATTCGCATCTATTATATTGATTTCCTAAGCGTAGCTTAGATGTGGTACAAGGCCGAGGTGCCCTAGTGATTTTCTAAGCGTAGCTTAGATGTGGCACAAGGCCGAAAGTAGAGGTCACTCAGTGAGGCTCGAAATCACTGTTCAGTCGTAATTGTTCTAGCGAGACCAGCTTTCTAACCATTACACCGCCTCGAGGCGCCCATTCGCATCTATCATATGGATTTAGCAGAACCAGCATGTATATGTAACTTGATGCAATGTTTTCCATTTATTGGGTGGATTCTATCATATTTGGGAGCCCGTAGATTGTATGTAGCACCAATGTCTATTAGGATTTCATATTTTGCTGATCCTCTTGTTATTGGTGCCCCAAAAGAATCTAAATCAGCTGCAACTTAAATCATAATATACTTTTGGCGCTTAACAATCATCCTGCATCCGAATACATTTCAATCCTTTACGACTTAAATGACTTTTACACCCCTGGTATTACACTGACAAATTGAATTTCAAAAACTTCAAAATAACTGTGGTCTGAAATGGGTTTTCATGTTGCCTGTTTTACCCCTTCATGTCTGCGGCTAAATTCGATTAACTAAATACAGACTAATTCTGTTATATCCGTAACTGCATTAATTCAAAAATATTTTTTAATGAAAGTACTTTAAAGTAATTGAAGAAGATAGACTGTTACAACTAAACATGATGCTGTTTTTGCTCTATGCTAATTGAACGATTTTCTGGTCGACCAGCTGGGTATGGCTGCTAGAAAGATATAAAACAGAATGAGATATTAAAATATTTTGTCAACATTCTCTTGGAAAGAAATCTTGCATAACCAATTAACTTGATCACAGATCTCTTTATAACTATCAAAGTAAATAAATACACGAATATACATGCATTTTAAAATGATACAAAATGTATGTAAATTTTTGCTAAATGAAGTGGACTTTTATTACTGTATTGTTCATAATTATTTATATTTTCGTAAAAAATACTGAATATACAATTGTTACAAGAAATGTATACGAAAATATGATATCCTGCCTATATATAACACTTATACCTAAGCAGAACGCCATTTCTTTAATTATGTACGCAGTATTGGCTATTCGTTGTCATGAATACGTAGTGGCATTATTAATGTTTCACAATATTTCAAATCAGACTAATATAATTATAGATGCTATTTTCCCAAAAGCTTTTGAGGTATTTAAAGAAAAATCCATCAAATATGGTTGCGTCAAACTTTCCGGAAAAATAAAAAAAAAAGTCTAGATTGTTAGAATTGCTTTCTCACTGAAAATGTATTGTTTCTGTCGTATATTTAGTAGAAAGTAAAACGAATTCGGGTTTCATTGAGTGATTTTTCTTTATTTTCGATTAAGCTGTTTGCTAGCGTTTTTAGTGTAAGATTTTGTTTCGTGTTCTTCTTAGAATTGTTCGGTCAATAAATGGCGCATATTTCATTCAATACTAATTGTCCGAACAGTTAGACCCTACTGAATAGCTTTGTTCTGTTGTGATATATTGAATTCCTTTCCACCCAGTATTGATATAAGTTCACTGTTATTAAAAAATAATTCGACTGATTGGGATTTTCCCGAAATAAATAGTGCTGACATATATTTTGACATATCAATATTTGATAATTTGAGATAACATCTTACTGAAAGTGTCGTAAAATGCTTCTACTCATGCATAATACCCACCCCTTGTTAGGTAATCAAACCCTATAAATTGTATCTCTCCAATTTCATTACGGCCAGCGTATCCTACTCTTATTAAAAATGGTTTTAAACATAGAATAATATTATTGTAATTTAGTTTTATTATGATTTTATTTTATATTTGTAAGTATTGTTAGGTACATAAGATTTTATTTGACATCCTTATGGGGTCGCAATCGCCGAATGTTTGTGTCAAATTGTCGTATGTTTGTCGTGAGTAGTCATTTCGCAACTGAAATCGACTGATAAAACGGCAATTTTTTTAAAGATTTTTTTGTAACTGTGCATAATACGCACACTTACTTTTGCTTATTATATTTTAGAAATATGCGTATTATACATGGGGAATTACGGTATATTAATTCCTCGGGTATTGAGTCAAGACCCCTCACTTGAATATGCTTCTTCATTGGGTAATGCTTAGTGTGGCTAGTCGGCTTGACTATTACTACTGAGTTCTATCCTCATTGGGTACCCATAAAAATATTTAAAATTGTACAGCAACAATGATGGGCGCAATAGAATCACGTCAAATAGACTCCATTTTGAACAGAGTACGTATAGAAAAAAGTTATTTGAAATGAGATGTAATGAGTGGTGTCAGAAATAATAATAATAATAATAATACCAATAATAATAATCATTTTATTATATAATCATCAGTAATTACAAATTCAATAACATACAGTAAACGACAGTAAAATGAATAGAAAAGAATGACACGATCATTATTAATAATCATGAAAATAATTTAGGCGTCTAAGCTAGTCTGGGTGTCAATGACCACTGAATTTGATGTTCCCGAGCTGTTCAACATAATGTTAACGTTAAATCACCTAACAAGCGATTCGGGTTTCATTGGGTGATTTTTCTTTATGTTCGATTAAGCTGTTTGCTAGCGTTTGTAGTGTAAGATTTTGTTTCATGTCCTTATTAGAATTATTCGGTCAATAAATGGCGCATGTTTCATTCAGTACTAATTGACTATTACTACTGAGTTCTATCAGTGATATATTGAAATCAAACAACATTTTAAAGGAGGGTTAATATTTAATAATCAAAGAATAGAATTAAACGACAAAGCGTTCTAACATGTATTCAATATACAGTAGAATCCCTCATATTCGGAATCACTCTTATCCGATTATCAGGAGTTCTACTGTATTAAGGCGACATAGAAGAATGAATTAGGAAGTTTCAAAAGTCTTGGTAGAATACAAAAACTCTGAATACTGACACCTTATCCGTTTACAGCTTTTGAAGATTTGTATTTTCGACATTATTTTCATTATACTTTTCATCCAGTCGGCCATAGATTCGTAGATGGAATCATTCAAACAATACAGATTTATTTCAGTTTCTACTCTTCCATAGTGAAGTTTCCATAATTTGAAACGATGACGCCATTATTGTCACACTTCTCATTGAAGTAGTAGAGCCGATACCAGCGAACTTAGTAAATCTTTTATCATGTAAATTCCGAGTCTGCATTGCTTGACACTTCAAATAATCTGAAAAAGGTGCTGTCTGAAATCGTACATATTGATGGGGATCACCCAAGATGCAAGATCACCGACTGAAAAAGAAAACCCTGCGAAAAAAGATAATAATAATAATAATAATAATAATAATAATAATAATAATAATTGTTATTAAAGACCACAAACAAAAACGGTGCCTCCTTATTGATATGGCAGTCCCTGCTGACTGCAATGTATCTTTGAAGATATTCAAAAAGCTGTCAAAATACAAGGACCTTGAAATAGAAATTTCGAAAATGTGGCATATGGGAACATCAACAATCCTTGTTGTAGTTGGAGCCCTAGAACTGGTTGGAAAAGATTGCAGGAGACGAATTGAAGGGATTCCTGGAAGTCCATGCCTCAACGAGATACAAAAAAATGTTCTGACAAGTACAGCCCACACTTGACGAATGGCTTTATCTATGTAATTTTTTTTTTTTTTTTTTGTCAGTGGAAAGTGTCATGCTGCCATTTCTAAGCTTAGGTCCCTAGGACCCGGAAAGAAATGTCTAAACGCCAGAAATCAAAGAAAATAATAATAATAATAATAATAATAATAAGTATGTTTGTGTAAGTTTAATTCTGAAACTAATGTGATTTATACTTAGAATGTGTATTGCCATGGCATCATTTTTGGATCCATTTATCGCCATTAATATTATTCTGAGATGAAGTATTATCGTTACTTGCATTATTTCCATTATTCGGACTGTTATCCTAATCTTCATTGCCATATTCACAACGTTTCAGAGACTCTATCCTCAATGACACATAGACCAGTAAATAAAGACTTTGGTTAGATCCAGTAACTAGACCCAAGAAGTTGTGAGTTCAATGCCAGGCCACAGAAGTGGTGAGCCAAGACGTGGGGAGTTGAGTTAATGGGAAATAATCGTGACATACGGAAGAGACATGACACGTAGAACTAGAACAATCTACGTCGGTGGATGAAATAAAGGGTTCGGTTCGAAATCCCAATCACCTGAAGAAAGCCGGAGCGATCAACGGCCGAAACGTTTTGAATATAGCATTGCAGATGAGGATAACAATCTGAATAATGCAAATAATGCAAGCAATCATAATACCACATCTCAGAGATATAGACAGATATATAGAGAGACATGCATAAAGGTCGGTGCATACAACAGCCGAAACGTTGTGAATATGGAAATGAAGATTAGGATAATAGTCCGAATAATGTGAATAATGCAAGTAATCATAATACCTCATCTCAGAGATATAGACAGATATAGATAGAGATATAGACATATAGGCCGGTGCATACAACGGCCGAAACGTCGTGAATATAGCAATGAAGATGAGGATAACAGTCCAAATAATGTAAGTAGTTAATATTAATTTTATTATAACATAGATGTTGATAAACTAAAATAATACAGGAATACAAAGCGTTCAGAGAGGATTAAAGGCATAAATATTTTTTTCTTTATATTTCAACGACTTATTACATGAGAGCTGCTACAAATCTTCCAGTGCTGATGAAGACTGAAATATTGAATCATAAATACATTTCTATTACTAATATATTCTTTCGTAATATTCAATTTAAAAAAAAAAACGATCTTATTCTGACATCCAAATAATGACCCACGCTTCTTTCATAGTGATGAGAAAAAGCAGCATCGACCGGAAAAGCTTGATCCATAGCAGCTCAGTCTGCCTCGAGCAATATTTCTCCAGCCGTGCATCGGATCAGAGATCCCTTAGTGTGTTTCGTGAGATCATCACAGTTCCCTTGTTAACCGATAAGTGTCAAAGGGTTCAGCCTTTCGTCTGTTTTCAATAACAGACAGAGAACTAGATTTCTTGTTAAGCATCAGTGCTGGAATGGTGTAAAAACTGCCATTGCAGTTTTATGAGACAAACCACTGAACAGATCTAGTCATATGAAGGATTAAATACGAGGTTTATTGTATAAAAGTAGAACATACAATAGACAAATATGAAAACAGTTCTTGTAACGACAGCCAAAATTCAACACAAAATCCTCGCTGTAAATTTGATTGAATACTGTAGGGAATTGATCATATACGAATGCGAATTTCCATCTCATTTTTATATACGTAATTATCTGCCTTTCTCTACTCCCGAATACAAACTGAATCTCATCTATTATTAACTTACGTAAACTTTGGTACTATTGCACTTCTTTCCTAAAGAATTGATAAGAAGATTAATTGCTTTTTACAAGAATCTTTCAGATAATAAAAATATGATGGAAATAAATTTAAAATAGATTTAAATATTTAAAAATCACTCTGGAGGCGAGTGCTAACAATATACACGGTCGGATAAGCATCTATACATTCAGATTTTGGTAAGGATAAGGGACAGGCTGCGAAATGTTCAGCATAACTTGTATTCTTCTACATGTACGTGGGCTCGTAAATATGCACGTAGCTGTATGCCCAGGTAAGTTTAAATAATGACGTAATAATGTCGTTTTTTGACGTATTTTTAACGTCAAAAACGAAATTCTATGTCATTATTTTTACACCAACCTAATAATATATATATATATATATATATATATATATATATATATATATATATATATATATATATATGCGTTATTTAGTTAAAAGATCTCAATATAAGAGATGGAGTTAACATAAGCAGTTGCACAGAGAGTTGTTTGGGACTTTAAGTTTCATACTTTCACCATCTTCAAACAAACTTTGTCACAAACAAATCTCCATACATATATATATATATATATATATATATATATATATATATATATGTGTGTGTGTGTGTGTGTGTGTGTGTGTGTGTGTGTGTGTGTGTGTTTTTATCTATGGAGGAGCATCTGGTTAAAATATAACAATAAAATATCTTCAAATAATTGTCGGACTTTGTCCATTTCGTAGTGTGTGACGTCATTTGTTTAATTTAAGATACGCTTGCGAGAAGATATGGACGTTCGAGGGAAATCGTGGAAAATTGTAGTTTAAAAGCAGTAAAATCGTCCTTACTAAATAGACGCGCCTCTGTAACTAAATGGGAATAGCCCGTCAGGTTATATGACGGTTCCGTGTAGGATACAGGTTCGATTCCTGTCGGAGGAGACATATTTTCTATGAAATTTTCTCGGACGTTCAGGCCGGTAAATATTCATTATAAATAGAGCATTTACTTAAATATTTGTGCCTATATAAATAACGTATAAAAATAAAATATCTTTAATATATATATATATATATATATATATATATATATATGCCTGACGATTGCATATAGCATGAAACAGACTGTCGCCTCTAAGTGTTGACTTCTATGTTCACTTATATATATATATATATATATATATATATATATATATGTGTGTGTGTGTGTGTGTGTGTGTGTGTGTGTGTGTGTGTGTGTATCTATGTATGTATAGGACGTATAGACACACTCCTAATGCAGGTCAACTCAACAATGAATGTGTTACCTTATCTCTTTGGATTCAATTATTTTCCCTTCTAAATTCCTTTTGATTTTCAACTCCTAGAGTCTCTGCCTATATTTTTACTTGTCTTACTCCTTCTCCTCGGCATCTTACGTTCCCTTTCGCCCCACGCACACATCTCTCTTCCAAAAGCTCTCTAGCAATATTCCCTAAATCTGCCTTACGCTTTCTGTCTTTCTTTCTTTAAATCTCCACTGAGCCCGCATGCCTACGAGATGTCAAACTCGAAAGGTGTGGGATTCCACCGTCACGAACCTCCTGAAGGCTGTCTCGTAGGAACGGAAGCGAGCGGAAAATTCCCGTTTCCCTTCCAGCAGGTTAGCTGTCTGGTCACATGACATACACACAGCTACAACTGCCGCCAAAATAGCCACTCTTACTCTTTTTTATCTTTTTTTACTCCATCTTCTTTTTCTTTATGCCTTTTTTTTTCTTCGTTTTAATATTTGTCCTTCCCTTGTTAAGATACCAATCACATTATATCTCTATTCTGTCTGTTATTTCCTTTCTTTCTTCTTCGACGTTTTTAAAATGTCCCCACATTGCATTATACTTAACTCAGTACTATCTATCTATCTATCTATCTATCTATCTATCTATCTATATTCTGTTCGTATCTATCTATCTATCTATCTATCTATCTATCTATCTATCTATCTATCTTTATTCTGTTCGTATCTATCTATCTATCTATCTATCTATCTATCTATCTATCTATCTCTTCCCATTCTATTCGTATCTATCTGTCTATCTATCTTTATTTTGTGCGTATCTATCTATCTATCTATCTATCTATCTATCTATCTATCTATCTCTTCCTATTCTGTTCGTATCTATCTATCTATCTATCTATCTATCTATCTATCTATCTATCTTTATTCTGTTCGTATCTATCTATCTATCTATCTATCTATCTATCTATCTATCTCTTCCATTCTATTCATCTATCTGTCTATCTATCTTTATTTTGTGCGTATCTATCTATCTATCTATCTATCTATCTATCTATCTATCTATCTATCTCTTCCTATTCTGTTCGTATCTATCTATCTATCTATCTATCTATCTATCTATCTATCTATCTATCTATCTATCTATCTTTATTCTGTTCGTATCTATCTATCTATCTATCTATCTATCTATCTATCTATCTATCTATCTATCTTTATTCTGTTCGTATCTATCTATCTATCTATCTATCTATCTTTATTCTGTTCGTATCATCTATCTATCTATCTATCTATCTATCTATCTATCTATCTATCTATCTTTATTCTGTTCGTATCTATCTATCTATCTATCTATCTATCTATCTATCTATCTCTTCCCATTCTATTCGTATCTATCTGTCTATCTATCTTTATTTTGTACGTATCTATCTATCTATCTATCTATCTATCTATCTATCTATCTCTTCCCATTCTGTTCGTATCTATCTATCTATCTATCTATCTATCTATCTATCTCTTCCAATTCTGTTCGTATCTATCTATCTATCTATCTATCTATCTATCTATCTATCTATCTATCTATCTATCTATCTATCTCTTCCCATTCTGTGCGTATCTATCTATCTCTTCCCATTCTGTTCGTATCTATCTATCTATCTATCTTTATTTTGTTCGTATCTATCTATCTATCTATCTATCTATCTATCTATGTCAGCCTTATCTATCTATAACATAAAATCTCATTCTTTTACTTCTGAATGCTTTTCTCATATTCCTTCCTTCATGATTTCTGCTTGTAGTGTTTTCCGAGTGACCTTCCTAATCAGTGTTAGTAGTTCCAGTTTTGAATTCCAAATTCGTATCACTGACTTGCTTCAAACTAAACCAAGAACGGTAACTTCTTATATATAAAAAACATTATGAATATCCGTCTAAAAACATTTGAAAGGTAAACCATGCAACTATGAAAACATAAAATTATTATTTTTCTTATTTTTTTTACAACCAAAGCATTAATGGGAACCAAAACCACATTCTTGCCTCCACAGGATTTCTTTCTGATACCCTGGCTGTTTTAAATTACATGTGACAACAAGCTATAAAACACCTTCAAATATATTGATTCAATTGCATACAGAGTTCCAGTTTTCCTTTTTGATGAATTACGTGCTTAATACTTTTGTCGATATAATCATCTGTTTTAATTATCAGATCTTGAATCAGTGGGAGAATGAAGAGAATTAACCATCAATGTCTTCAGATGAATGCCAAGCTTCATCATACAGGAACCATATTCAATCAACTTGAAAAGAATGTTATCTGTATAAATTTTCGCGATATTGTGTATAATTTATTATGAACAATGGTATATAATTAAAATCTCCTGAAATACATAGAACTCATATATTAAGTTATAGAGATAATTACATGTTATATATATATATATATATATGTGTGTGTGTGTGTGTGTATATATATATATATATATATATATATATTTATATATATATATGTGTGTGTGCATGTGTGTGTGTGGGAGTGTGTATGTATATGTATATAAGTATAGGATTGGTGTATACTGAATAAATTCCAATAACCAACAAATACAATTCTTAAAAGAGTGCTCAATACAGAGTAGAGCAAATACAATTATTTATTCGAAAATGAAAGAATCTACATTCAACACCATCACTTTAAGTGTTGAAAGAAAATGGCGTTTCATTTTAGACACCCCCACCTTTCCCCGACTTGACATCTTGAAAGTATCTCTATACCGCTACTTATTATTAACACCCTACACTCGCCTACCCAATTTAAACAATTCGCCCTAGCTGTTACCATGGGGATTTTGATTTCAATTTTTCAACCAAGTAAATTTCAGATATACGTTATTCCAACAAAAATTTTGCTTGAAGATGGAACGGAGCCCATTTTAATTTAAACTCAATTTAATTTAAAGGGTTATATTGAAGTTTTCGGCTCTTGTTTTGAAACATGAGTCCTCTTATGTAGCGATTTGGAATCATATTTTTTAAATAAGTAATTATATATATATATATATATATATATATATATATATATATATATATATATATATCATAATTCACCCAGTAGAGACCACTTACAGACAAATGTTTATACATGTTTAAGATATATTTAAGCAGTAAGTATTCAAGTCGGATTGAAAAGAACCAACAAGGTCTCTCTGTTTAATTTTTTGTATTTATTTTCCAATGTCGAAATACGATGTTGTGTATTGTGATCAGATTTGTAGATAAATTGTCCGAAGCTTATGTGTTGTTGCTTTGTTCAAGCAATTTCGACCACCCGGGTCATTTTCACGTTCCAATGTAATGTGTCCGTGTTAGTCAGGATTCCTTTATCTACATATTGCTATTCTTTGGAAAGATAAAATTTTGAAAAAATCTATCGTAACTTTAAGTGTAATGGTTATTGGGCGCGAGGATGCACCAAACAGAATGCGATTTTTTATTATATATATATATATATATATATATATATATATATATATATATATGAAGGTGAATCAAAATTACACTTACAAACTTTGGAGGGGTTCCTCAAACCAAAAAACAAGGATGAAAGTGAATATAAACATGTCTGCAAATACTTCGTTTTTGACTTATTAAGTTTAAAGAAAGCTGAGGGTAGATGACGCTGTGTTGCCATGTAGACTGGGTTACATTTGACATTTGTGTACATTTGTGGCCAGTGTGTCTTCAACGTTTGTAATAGTGAGTGTTCCTCTCAATAATGGCAGGATATTCATATCGTGAGCAGGCAAATATAATTTTTACATACGGCCGCGCGAATGGTAATGGACGCAAGGTTGTATCAGATTGCGTTTGCAGCTGTTTATTGTCGTGTTGCTGAGATAGAATCCGTGGTACCACAAACTCTGGATCGATGAAACCGAGATCCGCTCGTACGCCTGACCACGAAGAACATATTCTACAGATGATCCAGGTATCGGAACACGTCAAATGGCCATAACATCTAATGGTGCCGCATGGTGGGTACTTCAAGAACAGCTTCTGTATTCTTAGTATTTGCAAAGTGTACAGTGTTTTTCTCGCTCTGATCACTCAACACGGGACAACCTTTGCTGGTGATTTATTGCCCAAACTGTTGTTCCGTTGTCTCTTTCTGAAATGCTCCTTGTTTTTGCGTGACGATTCCTCGCCCAAATTTTGTAAAAAGTATTTTTTGATACAATTTGCTTATATATATATATATATATATATATATATATATATATATATATATATATATATATATATATATTAATATTAGTGGAAAATATACATACATATGCAAAATATATAAATACCCATACATGTATATTTTCAGAAAAAAAATTCAAGAGGAAGAATCCAGGTAGAACTTAATGTCCAGGACAGAGTAAGGATATAATAAAAGGCTTAAACACTAATATTCCATGGTGTAATTTATTCCATTGGAATCGTAAATACGATCCAATTCATCAGACATTTGTAATTCAAAAGCTTTTTGAATTTGTAATGGTCTAATGAATATTATATATTCATTTTTCAATATATATATATATATATATATATATATATATATATATATAAACATTTACTAAGAACATCAAATAGAAAAATGATAATTGTTGTATTTATGCTTTTTTTCATTTAACACTTCTTTAATTTGCTCAAAATAATTTATAAAGGAATTCTTCACTCTCTCTCTCTCTTTCTCTCTCTCTCTCTCTCAAAAGAGAAACAGAACTAGAGATTGGATTAATGAGAAAATGAGAAATTCAAATTTTTTGCCAGTTTTTTTACTAAACTAGAATTAATGTCAAAATACACATTTTAGAGTCAAAAAGCGTATCTTATGTCAAAATGATCTTATCTTTTCCGTCAGAACCCAGGTTACATATTTATAAGTCTACCATTCGTCTTTGCTTTGAATGTTGCTGCAACATCTGGTCTGGTGCTTCTGCTATATATTCAAAGACTACTGATAAAATACAAAGAATAATCTGTAATGTTATTAGTCCTGATCTGGCACCTCGGCTTCAGTCCTTTCCCCACAGCCTTAGCATGTGCCATATCTATAAATTTTTCAGTTGAATTGGTTAGATTGAACCGTAACTTCTATGCTAACAGTTTCTTCTATCACACTTCTCACTTCCGTCTACTTACGTCCCAGTCAACTTTGATCTTTAAAGATTTAAATGCCATGTCAATCGTTATCTTCTGTCTTCTTAGATCTCATTCTTTTATTGTCTTCTCTCTTTAATATGATTTTTTCTGATATTCTCTAACACCCAATAAACCTATGCGCCCTAGAGGGTTATTTGCCTTTCTTGGAGTGATATGATAAATATCTGTGAATATTGACTTAATAATGTTTAAAAGATCTAGAAAAGGAAAGGTAGGAAAGTGTAGTTGCAAAGATAAAGAAAGAGGAGGCGTTATAAAAAGAAAAGGCATTCGAGTTGAAATGTGAAAATATGGAGAACAGATATATATTGCGAAAAACAGTGAGTTATAAAACGTGTAACATACCAGAGGAATATAAAACTTAACAATTATTCACATGGATGTAAAAACTGAGAGCCAGAAAGTAAGGAAAAGGGTAAAAAATTCCAAAAGAAAAAGAAAAATATACAAAAAGAAGAAACAGAAATTGAATAAATAAAAAAAAAAAATGAATTCTGAAGAATCAGCTCAATGAAAAGATGCTTAAGAAAAAGTCAATAACAACTAATATTTTGCTAGTTGTGTTTGATATTAAATAAAAATGGAGACTGCAACAAAACAAAAAGGAAGTTTAAACACTGCAGTAGAAAGACTTTAGTTTTCAGAAAAGATAGGAACAAAATTAGGAATGGTAAGAGAGAGAGTGAGAGAGAATGGTCAGGTTGTGATAGAAATGTGGCTTGTTTATTAATTGTCTTTGACATTAGCCATCCGCTTATCGATCCTTCAGGCGTTGGTTTCGGATGGACGCTTGCTGAGTCCAATTGGGGTCCCCGAGGACATACAGCGTCCAATGTCAGTTCAACCTCACTGGAGACGTCACAGGGGGCGCATGTGCAGACGACATCAGAAAGGCATATCTTCGATAGGGCGACACCTGGCGGCTCCCAAATGAAGCCCAATAAAGAAAACTTGAAGAAAAGAGTGAGAAAGAAAAGAATTTAAAAAAAAATGGCTGCTGTTTATAAGTGCTATTACATGCTCGGGATAAAATTCGTGAGAGGAAGGTATATGGAATCTGAAAGGATATAGAAGTGTTTTTGAGTGTTGGTCGTGGCTTAATGTGTGGGATCCATACTGGCATTTGGTCGGTGAAGATGCTGGTCCTGGCAACTTCATACGGTGGAGTAGGCAAAAAAAGGGTTAAACTGCTTTTTGTGAATTAATGACAAAAAAGCAATGAAAAATAATACCTGATAACTTTTCGGTATGGGGTATTGTGGATTTTACAGGTACATGATTTTAAACTTCGAATAAATAAAAAGAAAATTAATAAATTTTTTATGTGATTCTTTTATTTTATGCATTTTTAAAAGACGAACACGTTATGAGAAAAAAGACCAAATCTTTTAACTATCATCTCCGACATATTAGCAGAGATACAAGTCTAACATATGGTAATTATATCTAACTTTTCTTAAATTTAAGGAATATTAAAAATAAAAATTATAATAAGCATAATAATTTAATATAAAGTTCCAAC